TTAAAAATCATGGTTCACACTGTGAAATCCCAACATTTTCTTCTATTAAAAATCATGGTTCACACTATGAAATCCCAACATTTTCTTCTATTAAAAATCATGGTTCACACTATGAAATCCCAACATTTTCTTCTATTAAAAATCATGGTTCACACTATGAAATCCCAACATTTTCTTCTATTAAAAATCATGGTTCACACTATGAAATCCCAACATTTTCTTCTATTAAAAATCATGGTTCACACTATGAAATCCCAACATTTTCGATAGGTGAAGCTGTTGTCGTTATTAAGCACAAAGACACAGAAACCGGTCCTTAACAATATAAGTCCACACACATACCGCTGTGCCACTGGGAGTCGAACCTATTATCATCACTGAAAAGACAGATATTGCTTTTGCCTCTTTAAAACCAGGGGTTCTCTGTCGGAAGTTTTGTAGTTTTATTACTTTATTTTTTAAACGTGATTTACCAATATTATGATCCTACGTGTGTTTTGCTATCGTTTTTTAATTATAGTAATTATTAGAAATTAGATATTTAACAGTGCCGCTTTCTTTGATAGAAAAACAAATCCTTAAGTAAAGTATTTGTTTGCCTGAGAAAAATCGAATACTTTCCTGAGTCAATTAGGTTTCAACTTTTTCATATGCTACCATTATATAACTCAGAAATTCAACCTGAAAATGTGTTTTCGGTGTGGGTCTTAAATGTTGTATATTTTTGTTCTAATTTCGCGCAAAGCTACACGAAGACCATCTCCGCTAGCCGTTCCTAATTTAGCAGTGATAGACTAGAGGGAAGGTAGCTAGTTAACGGCACCCACCACTAATTCTTGGGCTACTCTATTACTAACGATTAATGGGATTGACCGTCACAATACAACGCCCCCACGGCTGAAAGGGTGAGCCTGTTCGATGACGGGAATTCGAACCCTCGACCCGCAGATTGCAACTCGACCACCCAAACCACCAGGCCATGGGTTTTAATATGTATGCAGTTTGCACAACTTTAATTGGCTCCATCTGGAGGATTTATTGTTCATGTCATCTAAAATATAGCAATATTACAAAATAATATGCGCACAAATAGGAGGCGCTGTGCATGTTTGTGATAAATATTTTATAACTCCTTGGGAAGTATTTTTAAATATTTTGCCATATTAAATGAACTATACAAAGACACGGGTAAAAACACTTTTACAAAATGTTCGTAAGCATTGCATGTTACCCAACTCATTTTATCTCTAAATTTTAAGAACGGTGGTCGTTCTTTAGCGAGGGAATGAGAGTAAAAAAAGGACGGACACTGTGAATTTTCTGAAGAACATGGAACTCACTCGTTAAGCAAGGATAAAACTAATTACAGATAAGAAAGTCACGAAGATTAAAGTGGATTTCACTTGAAATTTAATTTTACATACAATGCAGTTATTTCATTTCGTAACTACATTTCAGCTCTCAGTTTTTAGTGGCACGGGCAGTTTCCAGTTTAATGTATTGAAAATAACAGTTAAACGAAACATAATGTCTGGGACAGCAGGAAATCTTAACATGACAGTAAATGTATTATTTTAAGTTTAAATAAAGTTTTATTTACACTGTTATCGTCAGCCCTAATGATAGATGCTGACACTTAAGCAGTATCAAAAAGTATCCGTATGTTTTTAATTACAGTAAACAACATTTTCAGTGTTAATCGATACCAGTTAAACTGTGATTACAATTAACAATTGTTCCAAAGGATGTAAAAACAACAACAACAACATCTGTTTCAATAAGATACAATTTATTAGTAGTAAACTGCAGCTGATTTAACGATAATAGAATTTTGTCACAGTGATATTTTCATGATTTTTTTCGTAAATGTTTATTTCTTGAAAGTGAAAAATAAGATTATAAAGATTGAACGAAATTAAGACATCTTATTTTAAGATTTTAAAATTCTAAAAGTGTAGTGCAGTAAAAAAAGTGAGTAATACGTTCCTAAAATCAAACTACGAGTAATTATAGGACTTCATTTCTCACAAAACTATCACAGAAGAGTGATATGAATAATGATATTTTAAGTTAGTTATGGTACTTATAATTCTAATTGCTCCTTGAAACCATTGCATTATTCATTGTTTCAGTTCACCAAAAATATGCACTTTAACCCGTCATCTTTGATTCTTCCTTTGAATTCTACGTCACGAATAATGTGAAAAGGCGTCAAGTTCGGAAATGTGATAGGCAGACAATGTGCAACGTGTTAAACCTCTCATGGGTTTACACTAATATTAATCGATTCCTTAAAACCAGATCTTAACTATACAACTAATAGATGTCTTAAACGTTGATTAAAGTTACGTGCTGACTTGCTTGGTGTCACTGAAAGAGTGAAACTTCTGTAATTAAATCATTATGCTCGATGTTTCCTGTTATGCTCGATGTTTCCTGTTATACTCGATGTTTCCTGTTATGCTCGATGTTTCCTGTTATACTCGATGTTTCCTGTTATGCTCGATGTTTCCTGTTATGCTCGATGTTTCCTGTTATACTCGATGTTTCCAGTTATGCTCGATGTTTCCTGTTATGCTCGATGTTTCCTGTTATACTCGATGTTTCCTGTTATACTCGATGTTTCCTGTTATACTCGATGTTTCATGTGTGAAATGCTCAAAAGTATTACGATGTGAATGAAGAGATTGCAAATGGGGGGGGGGATTATAATCAAATTAGATACGAAATGAAGTTTTTCTTTATATTTTAATAAACTTATGAAAAATTCAGGGGCGTTGCTAGAAGGGGTTTGGGGTTTTCGAACGAATCCGTTTTTTTTTACCAGAAATAAACATTAGTACCACGAGCCGTCACATCTACATGCAGAATAACGTCAAAATCATTAGCACAACCCTAATGTGTTGAAACGCACTGAATGGACAATGGTCAGTCTAAAGTGAATGACCAAATACCATTTTACATCGTACTGATCATGCAAGTGTTATGCTGCCCAGGTGAATTCTTCATGTTTCGACTTTCACTACTGTAATTAAATACGCTTCAGACGGCTATGCCTGTTTGTTCACACTTGCATACTCCTAGCCAGTTCGATACGGTGCTTAATTCAAATTACAGTATATCTACCTTATAACATGAAACGGAGTGCAAAGTAGTAATTTATAAGAGATTTACATACGTATAACTGTGACGTGCACATCAACTTCAGTTAAGTAATGAACAGATAGTATCAAGTTTATGTTTAAAACTTTCATGGATATCTATTTCAATATAACTTGTTTATTATCGAGTTTTCGTCATAACACGTGCAGTTTCGCGTGCGCGCACTCACATAAACAACAACAGCAAAAAAAAACAACAACACACGAATACCCCCATTCTCAAAAAAATCTTGGCGACGCCCATGAAAGTATAATGTGTTTCAAAACGATGTCCCATATTTTGGCTAGATTTCGATGACACGGCAATGATCGATCAGGATACAATAATTTCAGTTCGTCAAACACAAATATCTATGTTGACTAGCAGGGACCCACAAAACATTTGCGGTCAAATTAGTATCTTTATTGCAAAATTACTTCTTTAAGTACAGGATTTCTAGAAAAATACAAATTAAAATTAACTCTAATCGCAGACATTGAAATCTATAAGTCTACTTGTCTTAGGCCTAACATTAGCCTAACATACGGCCTATATTCGATAAATTAACCCTGTAACTAGCGCTTTGGTTTAGTTAGGGCTAAACTTTACCTTTCTTAATACTATCAATGAATAAATTTATAATGTTATTCTACAACATAACGTTAGACCTTTTTAAAAACTTTGATAAGCTTTTAATATGTTGTTGTACAAAATGGCTACTAAAGTATATTTACACTCCGCCATTTGTTTACATCCGTTGAAATGAAGTGTGCGCGCATGCGCATTTAGATAGTAAGGTGTGCGGGACAGACAGAAACTGAGTATTTTTATAATAGATAATTTACAGGACTCTCTTGACATTACCATTAAACCAACGTCGTGTATTTTTCAACACATTACCCAAAGGTATTTCCTGCCACAATTCGAATGATCTTAAATATGTTTACGATGTTACGTGCTATATGTATAATAATAGTAATAATAATTTAAACTCAGGTGTTTATTGACTTGAAGCACCCACCTTGGAAGTAACTCTTCGTGCGTAAGTAGCTAACACTGAGTCGAAGTATTGACAGTTTGTCCAGTTTAGACAACACGTTCTGTTCGAACGGAAGTAAACTTGCTATGTTTTCTAACTCGGCATTAAGACGTTCTCTGTGTCTTTTGCTGGGGTTTGACTTGGTCTGTCCGTCCTTAGGTGGTACTCGAACACTAAAAAAACGTAAAGAAATATGATAGATATTTATGCACAGTTTCAAGTGACAGAATGCGAGTATTTTAAACGTTTAATACAGCTATTCCCTCCATCCATAAAACTATACAAATGTATGAAAGTATGAACGAAGTGGAATATGTAACCTGAACTGCTCTTATGCGACTTCCTCTACGGTTCCAGTGCAGCCGTCCCTCGTCTTGAACTATTGACCAGAGGGAAGGCAAGCCATGGAGCAACACCAGTCGCCAATCCCGAATAACGGGATTGACTGTCACTTTCACTACGCACCCGCACCTGAAATGCGGAGCCTATTTGTATCACTTCTCGATTTCAAGACCCTTTGATTTGCTAAAAATACAATACTACTGTATATTCGTGCATGTTATCCTTGTTTTGTACTTAACATATTTTCAGTTTGTTATACCATTAATTCACAAAAGAACCATGTTACTTGAAAACTTAGAACACTTTTAAATAATATATTAGGGCAGATAATTATAAAAAGATCAAACTGATTAAAATTTTGAGCTATTGTAGATAAAATGTGTAGCTAGTAGAATGTATAATATAGCAATTAAAAATATTTAAAGATCGATACATTTTATAAGGTTTCTATATATTAGTGTGATTAAGTCATGACAAACAAACAATTAAAAATATTCAAAGATCGATACATTTTATAAGGTTTCTATATATTAGTGTGATTAAGTCATAACAAACAAACAATTAAAAATGACATAAATACGATTCTTTGAATTTAGTAGTGAATATACCATTTAAAAAAAATAGAGAACTTACATAATGTTCTTAGGGATGCATTAAAATGACTATAAATATGTCTATTACGGTTACCCAAAATTTGGTATTCTCAACCTAAAAGTAAACCATATGTGACACATGAGCTAAACGGCCAGGTCAAAGAACCCAAGATTCTGGGCATAGACGTTTCTAATTTTGAAATGCTGATCAGAAGAAAGGCAACCAATCAGTAGTATCTGTAGTCTTCACTAATGCTTTTGACCGAGCAATGGAATTAACTGCTACTTTTGTAACGCAACCGCAGCTGAAAGCTCAGAGCATGTTTAGCAGTATTTGCAAACTCGAACGTTAGACTTTCGATCTGCAGTTTGGCAAGCTAACACTAGGTCTCGTCCGGTCATACACAACAGTTATGCTAGCAACTAAAGGAAATATAATGTAACAGTAACTTTCTGAAAGTGTTGAGAATAAGTTAATATGTCGTTTTTATATCTACTGGAGAATATGATGATAAATAGAAAGCTTTTCACTTTTAAATTCGAAGTAACAGCTTGCAATGGGATTAAAGCACGCCCAAATTATCTAGATATATTAGAAGACATAATGATTAAATATTCTTTGATGGAAATGTATATATATATATATCTGCGTAATTTAGTTTTGTGTGATCTAAGAATAAAAATGGTTTACTCTTCACAAATAGAAGCCAAGTCCAATAACATGAAATAGCTCGTATTTTAAGTCTTAATATGCTGTAATGTGGTAGTTAAGAACAAATAAACAAAGAAGTTTCAATTAGTTAATGCACACACAAGACTTTTCAAAAAAAGATCGAGAAAAAACAACAACAACATACCATAAATAATGTGAATTTATGTTCGTTAATTTTGAATTTAAGAAACGAAAAGGAGCAATGAGATATTACTACCATAGGGTACTAGAAGTAAGTATACTATATACGATATATTACTACCATAACGTACTTCAAGTATACTATATACAATATATTACTACCATAACGTACTTCAAGTATACTATATACGATATATTACTACCATAACGTACTTCAAGTATACTATATACGATATATTACTACCATAACGTACTTCAAGTACTACGTACAATATATTACTACCAGCAGATACTACAAG